CTTTCTTCACCACATTTGCTTATTCACCTGCTTTGTCTTCAGCGGTTGTGTCGGGAAGGTGAGCAACATAGAATGCCAATTTAGTAGAAGAACGTATTCTTGCATTGAGGGAGTATTTGAGTGGAGGGTCAGCACTGTCTTTTGAGGTGCCTCTAGGTTGGTTTGAAGCACCAACCTCTTGGTTAGTAGTTGAACACTTAACTGTTTTATACATCCGGGTATTCCTCAATCAGTATTAATAATTTTAATGTGATAAGTATTTTATGTAAATGAAAGTCTATAAGCCATAAAACATAATATTTATGAATTGTTGTATACCATTGCTGAACAAGAATATAAAAGAAAAAAAACCTATTACAAATAAAGAAATTAGTATAAGTGTAATTACAATGCACACAAACATAGATAAAATTGATTAAAATGTAAAATATTGTGAAAATGAATGCTGTACTTAGACAACACAATTACTGGCTAATAGGTGAGGCTCAGCTGTGGATTTGAATTCCAGCTCTGTGTATATTAGCAGTGTGATTTCTGAACCTAGAGTTCTGTGGGAAGAAGTGAAGTTACGTCCTGAGCCTTCAAAGCCAACTCTTCTAATATTAGCCACGAGTAGGGCAAAGTTGAGATTATGGATTCCCACGCACACCCTCCCACCCAGGTATAGCAGGAAGGAACATAAATCTGGAAGAAAATGGAAAGACTAGACAGTAAGAGGTATGGAAGGAAGGTATAAGGCGTGAGAACAAGGGAAAGTCATGGAGTTGGGACCCAAAGAGGAAAGCACTGAAGTGGTCAAAAGCTTGAATTCTTCAAGTTGTCACATGCTGGACTTCGTTTTCTGGTCTTTCTTTTTGACTCTCTAGACTTAGTACTTGATTTGGTTTGTTTCTAGGCTAAACAGCCCACAATGATTATGGAATTCTGGGTTGGATGGTATGACACGTGGGGAGAGCCACACTTGGTTAGAGATGCAAAGGGTAAGTGTACACTCTTCAGATGGCGCTAAGTAGAGTGCCTCTAGGGCAATGTCCCCAGATACATTGTCCGCTAAGAATAGGCATGAAGGCACAACGACAATATTTGTGCCATTTCAAAATATGTCATGCAAATTATACTCAGCTGACATAGGACTCATAGGCGATTATGTACCAGATTTAATTTGGTAATCCAATTATATCAACATTGTGCAAAAATCATTTTTAGAAATAGCTTTTGGTGTTGACAGGATGTGATCAATTATGGTCAATTCCATCCATTTTCTGGCCAGGATTTTAGTGGAGATGAAATAATTATATTGACTGTGGGATGGGGCTGAGAGGGATAAAAGTTCACCGGAGACCTCTCGTATTAATGTACAACTTTCTCGGTGCTCTTATTTTCTCCTTCCACAGAAGTTGAACAAACAGTGCTGAAATTTTTCAATTCCGAGATCTCCTTCAATGTATACATGTTCCACGGTGGAACCAACTTCGGATTCATGAACGGGGCTATGGATTATGGGAAACACAAAAGTGTTGCCACAAGCTATGGCAAGTTCACTTGAATGCTGTTCACCTAGAGGGGAGGCTGGGGTGTGGACGGCATATATATAATTTCTATTGTTCTGTGATATTAACGATGCCCCAACTTGACTCAATTTGAAAGGACAGGACTGAGACTTTGCAGCTCTGCAGGACTCATCTCTGTCCCAACCCCTTGCCTTGAGCCAGTCAGTCTGCAACTTCTGGTCAAGATGGATATGAGAGGTGATTGCTGGACAGTCCTCCACAACACTCCTTGTTGCAGCAGAGAGCCACAGTGGCTTCTAGGGCTGGCTCTAGGGTCACAGTTACAAGACTGCACCAGAGAGCAAGCCAAAGGAAGACACTTCTTTCCTGAAATCAGGGAACTTTCCAGGTCAACCTGGTGTGCAGAATGCAGTCCAAGCCTCGGAATCATTCCTATCACAGCCACTGGGGGAGGCCGTTCCGTTTCATTTTCCATCTATGTCAGTGCTTCTCAACCTCCCTAATGCCACGACCATTTAATACAGTTCCTTATGTTGTGGTGACCCCCCTCCAACATTGCTACTTTTTAACTGTAATTTTGCTACTTTTATGAATCAGGTGACCCCTGTGAAAGGGTCGTTTGACTCTCAAAGGGGTGGCGACCCACAGGTTGAGAACCGCTGATCTATAGTCTATTTTACCACGGTCTGGATTAC